GTGGGCCAGTTCACAGATGTTTTAGTCAAATAATTCTGAAATATTTCTGTCTTCTGAGACCTGACAGTAATATTATGTGTTCCCCACAAATTGTTCTCATGTTAAAGATTCCTATTGACTTCAAGGGCCTTTGCATTATGCCATAGGATAATTGTTTATGGACCTTACAACATCTTGTGGCTTTGCGGTCATGAAAAAATATACTTTTGTCAGAAATACTGACAGAAAAAAACCCTAAGCACTATCTGAAATGTCATTATCTAGCCTAATCTAATCTAGTGCAAGGCCCATCTCTCTAAAATCACTTGTTTTACTTGTAGTAAATCTGTTCTATTATGTTACCAGGTAATATTTTAATCCCATTTCAAGGTTGGTGCTGGCAGCAGGAGTGCTGTGACATCAGGTGTAAGTCAGTGTTTGAACATTAATTCCTGTGCGGGGGGGATGTCCGCGCCGAAGGGCCAGCCTGTCTCTCCTACTCGTGTCCCTCTGCAAAAGGTGTCTGGGCCAGAACTAATTCCATTAGTGTTTGGAAAGCTATTTATGAGCTTGCCTTTAGTGGGATGACGTTATTAATGAGATTGGAGGAAGGCTGAGCGAGGGAGGGCTGCTCATTTCACAGGAGCATTGCTATGTGTTTAAGACAGGAGCTTCTCCTTTGAACTACATTCAGGGAGACCTGTCAGATAAAGCAGGAATCTAGGTCAGTTTGCAGCAAGAAAAAAGACATGAGCTGCATTTCTGCAGCATGACACCGAGGAGGACAGCTCCCTATATTCGTTCTCTCCATCCAAGGCACAGAAAGAGATTTAATTCTAAGGCTTCCAAATCAAACCTCGCTCAAATCACCATCCTCCTCCATTAGTGTGGTCACTCTAAAAACAGATAGGCCACATTCTCATGTTCTAATAACTACAAGGCAGTAACAAAGAGGCAGAAAGGAATTTCTTCTGCCTGCCCTCATTTACCAGACAGGCTCCATCCCTCCTCCCATGCAACCTGGGAGTGGAGAGGAGTTTCACCCGTCAGACTCGTTCCCCAGGTTTCATTAAGGGACCCGGGCTCCTCTGTTCATCTCTGGGCTGTTTTTGCTGGCCGAAGAGCTCCCAGAGCTGTAGCCTGATATCCCACTGCTTCCAAAGGGAGCCTGTTCCCCCTGGCAGCTCAGCAAGTAAGTACCTAGGAGCACTTGGCAGCATCGTCGTGGCACACACACACGGAGCTGCTTGTAAATGTTTGCTTCTCTGTCACCTGCTTAACAAATGAGGAGAATAGTTATCATGTGGGCTTATAATAATAACCTGTGTCGAACAGCTAGAAGAAACTTCGGCTTTTGTACAAGATACTTCATTTTATTACTATAGCTTCCCCAAAGAATTTAAGTTGCTGCTCATGTCTCATGTGGCACTTGGAAATTTTGTCTTGGCTGGAGAAAAGGAAGTTTGGGGCAAGTTCTGTTTGTTCATTGGAGTGGTTTGAGGACAGTTTTGCAATGCAGTGAAAACTGCCATTACTCAAACTACAGAGCCCATTTCTGTGTCCCTGTGGCTATCATCTCATAAAAGAATTTGATGTATGGATGAGAATTTTGTGTGTTTATGCCTGTCAGTTTAAACACATGCGAAATGCTGGAATAGGAGAGGAGAAAACAAAGTTCTCTATCGCTAGACAAGTCGATAGTACCCGAGAAGGATCTGCAGGAGATTCTGCATGGGTAAAATTTGACCTAGAAATAATAAGAGCAAATCACATAGTTCACGTAGCACCTGAGTACCCTGCTGAGACCGTCAAGAATTGCAATTAGTAGCAGATTTGTCATGCAAACACCTTCCATTGGGATTAAAGGGGAGTTGCCTAGTTCATTTCATATGATCCATCTCAGAAATACTTCATACCACTGACCAGAACAACATTTTTTTTTCACCCAACAAAAACGTAATAAGTTTAATTTTGAACCAACAAGCCCGTGGGTGTTTGTTTTCAACCCTTTGCATCTTTCTCCAAAAGAAACTAGCCCACAGCTGCAATGCGTCCAGCAAGGAAAGCTCTTCCACCTTCTTGTAACCTGACTCTTGTAACCTAACATGACACATTTCTAATGCTGAGAATATTTTTGAATCAAATGATCACTTGGTATATGAGATTTTTGTTTTGTTTTACACTTTGTAAGTAAGTAATCAAACTAACAAGAGTTTTGCGTCTTAAATTTTGAGCTTAATGCTATTTTTAGAATTTAATAGCCACATAGCCTATAATATGGAGTTTCATTTGTTCTGATTTTTAGAGGAAAAAAAAAAAGCTCTGAGTCATTAGATCATAAAAAGCAATTACAGAGATGAGTCCAGCAAGAGTCACAGGTACTAAAAAGGTGGTATTGGCCAGGACCACTTAAAAATATGCATGCTGAGTAATTTAGTGGTGTCATTAAGAGACGCAGACAGTCAGTTCAATACAAATATTGCCACAATCTTCTGGTCTTAGCGCAGCTTCCACGGTGTTTGGTGGTCTACCTATACACTTGGTCATGCATTATGAATTGAATGCTATTTCTATATTAAAAAGTTTTAAGCCAGGACTTAAATTCTATCTTAAACCTGCAAATCTTCGATGCTCCAACAACAGGAAGCTACATAAATTGTTTTAAAGGTGTCATGATTTGTGTGTGCTTGGAATTGGGAATGCATCTGAAAGTAGAGGCATAGGTTTTGCAAAGATAAAGTGTCTCTAACCTTAAATTGAGACCACGTATAATGCAAAGCATACTAAGATAGGTGTATTTTAGTTATGTCACTGGTGCTTTGGTAAACAATGAAGCATAGTGAGATTCTTAGCAATTTAACTATTTTTAAACCATTAAAAATAGATCAAATGCATCCAGCTATGGCTCCTATTTCCCTAGCCGCTGTTCTCTAGCCTGTAACCTAACTCCTTCAGATTCCAAGCTCCTTTCAGAGGGATCTGTACCTGATCGTGTTTGTCCAGATGCTAGCACAAGCAATGCTGATCATCCGTGTACTACCATAAACATGGAGTGCCATGTGACCACAGGGAAAAAAAAAAAAAAAAAAAAAAAAAAAAAAACGAGAAATGGGCTTTGGAAACATTGAGCAGACAAGGTCTAAGTAGGTGACACATTTGCAGACAGGATCTAGATCAAACATCAAAAGCAATAGGGAAGGAAATGAAAATTAGAGTGGTTTGAGAGAGATAAGAGATGGGTAAAGAGGAGCAGAGAAGAGAAATGAAGGCAAAGAGCAATGACTCCATGTCTCAGTATATTCATTTTACACGAGTCAGACCCCTGCCTTTTACCAGAACCACAAACAAGTCAGCCTTCCATCATGGTTGTAACATCTTAAGCTCCTGGACATTTTTACAGCCTGAGAGAGCAAATTACTGGTCAGCAGCAGAGGAACACAAGACAGAGTGTGCAATATTGGGGAGGGAAGTGACCGTCCTCCTGCAAGGTCTACCGCAACACAAAGCCTCGCTGCGGAAGCATCGGAGGTGCAAACACAGCAAGGAATGTTTGGCTGGGCTCTTCAGTGGAGTCTCAAATTTTGCTCCTTTTAGGTTAGCAGATAACGTAAGCGGGACATATCCTTATAATACAAAACTTTAATTAGCAGTGACATTGTTAAATCAGGTAACACGCTGTACCCATCTATGTAAACAGTGATACTTCGCTGAGACTAATGGAAAGTATTTTTAGGTACCCTAAATCTCAGGAAAAGCGCCCTGAAACTAGCTTGACTCTGCATTTCAGGAGCTCTCCTTTTTCTCAGCAGCAAATTCTCCTTTCTCCTATAAATGAAGTTGAGCAAGTGTCTGTGGGCAGCAGACTTCTGGCCGGCTCCCAGCTGGGATTGCAGCAGGCCGCTGTGCGAGACCAACATCTGCAATGTACAGCCAAAAAGATCAGCCTGACCTGAAACTGGGGGAATGGAGGGATAAGCCATTCTGGGGCAATATGGAAAGTTGTTACCAGCTGATGGTTTGTTTGCCTCCAAAATGGGAGGTTTTTGTAAAGGGGGAAACATTTGCAAGGATTTAGCCTAATCATCATGTTTTTGTGTATGACTATTGTTATCAACTGCTGCAGGGACATTTGGTGCATCCCATCTGCCTCGGTCATCACATAAAGTACACGCATACCAGATGGACTTTATTTGCATTAAGGAGTGGAACTGTACAAAATCCCATTTTAAACAGATTCTTGGGTTTTAAACAGATGTTGGGTTGGAGGGCAGAAGCTGGACTATGACACAGTATTCTAATTAATGCTCTAATTGTGGCCTTCATGGCAACACCACGCTCTTCCTCCTGTGTTTCCAATGTGTTTGGTGCTATTTCTCCCCAGACATAGCGGTCTTTTGCCTGCAAGAGCTTATAGATAACTATATGTACTTATAGATGTAGTAGATTTGGGTGCTTGGGCGGCTCACAGTTGGTGTGAGCGGGGCGGCCACGTTATCAGCACCACTGTGGCCAAGGCCACTGATTTTAAAGCAGGGTGGGTGCTGCCATGTGTTGTCATTCCCGGTGTTGGGATGGGTGCGGGAGGCTGTGGGCTCCCGGTGACACAGGCCAGGCCGCAGGGTGGACAGGGCCACATGGTGTCCACCACTCCGTGCGGTTCTCAAGGCCTTTATCGGCCATCGCTCCTCTCCTTCCACTGGCCCCTGCCCGCGGCCGCCGCTCTTGTCCTTCTCCCCGCATCGAGCGCGGCGCCGCTGCTGGCGTTTCCGCGGCGGGGGTGACGGAAAGACCCCTCTGCACGGCGCGAGAGGGGCCGCGGGGGCCGCGCCACAACATGGCCGGACCCCCCCCTCGCGCCACAACATGGCGCCCCTGCCGGCGGCGGCGGCGCCGCCATGTCCGCGCGGGGGGCGGGCCGCGCCGCCATGGGCGGGCCGGGGCGGGCCCGAGCGGCGGCCGGGCGGGCTGCGGGGAGCCGGGCGGCGGGTTAAAGCGGCCCGTGCCCGCCGGCGGCCCCCGCGCTCTCCCGCGCTCTCCCGGCCGGCCGGGACGCTGCGCGCCAACGCGGCTCGCACGCCAATGAGGGCCCGGACCCCGGCGCTCGCCGCCTCCGGAGCCGCCCGCAGCCTCCCGGCCAGACCCCCCGCCCGCCGCCGCCTGGGCGCGGGCGGCCCGGACCCATGCGGCGGCTCCAGGAGCGCTTCAGGAGGTGAGGCGGCCCCGGGCCCCGCCGCGGCACCGGCGACCCTGCCATCGCGGCGGGCGGGCGGCTCCCTCAGGGCTCCGCAGCGGCAGACAGGGCTTGGGTTCTGTCCCACGGTCTCCCTTTAATTTAATTTTTATTTCTCTTATTATTAAATGTTGAACTGGGTGAAGGTTCGCGCATCCGGCGGCAGCTCGAGCCGGGGATGCTCCTCGTGCGGGGCTCGGCGGCGCGGCCTTGTCCTCGCGTAAACCTGCGCGTGAACACATGCGGGTGTCTATAAAACATATATTTCTAAGCGGCTTTCAGGTGTTTCGGGTGGCTTTGCAGTGGCAGGCTGCCCCGCAGGGGACTCCGGCCCTTCCCCTCGTGCCGCGCGCCGGGACTCGGGGGGAAACGGCGCTGCAAGGAGGCAAAATGGGGGGAAAACCAGGGCTGCGCTCGGGGTTCACTCCGCTTTGGGGCTTGCCCGGGGAGCTCTGGGGGGCTGCAGGGACCTTCTCCCCGCGGAGCTGCCCGTCCCGCCGGGCCCCCCCGGGGGCGTTTGGGCTCTGCTCTGCGGCGTTTGCACCGTTTGGATTGGCTTTGTTAACGGGGACGAGATACCCCCTCTTGGGGAACGTGCCTTCGCCTTGCGAGTGGTCCAGTTTGCAAAGAGGAAATATTTCGGCCGAAGATATTAAGCCTTTTCAAAGCCTGTTTGTTCCTTTTCAAAATTCTACTTGCGTGGTCATCGTGAAAACACAGTACTGATTTTTTTTCTCTTAATTTTCTTAATTTGCTTTCTCCCCCACACCCTCAAAAACAAAGCCAGCATACAATATAACTAATTAGTTTGACATCCAAATGTGTCACCCCCTTTAGTGTATGTTACTGTTGTTTTTGTGGAGTTGTCTTCCCCCTGTGTTTCATATGCTGTTATTTATAGCTGATGGGGTCTTAGATGTCTTCTCCTGCCGCTGGAAAGCACAAAAACAAATGGCACGAAAGGAAGCAATGTATTTTTTAAGTTGGAAGGGAAGTATGGGGCCTTTTGAACTGAATAAGGGAAAAATGCATCCTGCAAAGACTCAAAAATCCAGATCCTTGAGACTCTGTGCATTTGTTTTTCATTTTGGTGAAAAGAAATAGACATTTAGTTTCATGCTCCAAAGAATAATTCGTTCAGCAGACGGTAGAAACTAGTGGTGTGATGCTAGAAAACACGCGCCACGCAAATGTGTGCATTAGATGGGGATTTTAATTATTTACTTTTCTAAACTGGGCTAGGTGTGCTAACAAAGATGAATCATCTCTCAGATTGTCCTGCTCCTTTTTCTCCTAAATCCTGTGATCTCTTAATTCAGAAGTTGCTTTGAAACGTAGAGCCCCTGTCCCCTTGGAAATGAGCTGGGGTTTGAGGTTCAATGATCTCACCCTAAAAATGTATTTGCCTGTATCTTTAGATGTATGTAGATGTTTTTAGGTGTATTTCAAGATCGAAGTTCAAACACTGCAAAGGCAGGAGTGTTAGGATCACCTTCTTGGTTTGTTTTCTTTTTGTTTCAAATGAAATTATGCATCTTTCCCAATATCCCTTTTCCACTTCTATTGGGAACATACCTATTAAAAAATAATAATGATTTATGCTTTGAAATTATAAAGCACTTGGTCCTTCTTGGGCTCAAGTAGATCCTGAGCTTTAAAAATGCACTGGGATTGAGACCTGACTCCCTTATAGGCAAAAACATCCTCGCCTTGTCTTTCTGTAACTACTTTTACTCTGTTAGCTTCATAAATCTCAAATTCTAGTGCAGAAAAATTAAAATACATCAAGCTTATGAAATAAGTAAGGAAACTTGGAGGCATCTGTATCTTTTTCTTTTTTTGTGATTCTCAGTAAGACACTGAAAGAAAAATAAATAAAACAAGTGCTAGGAGCTGATTGTGGAGAGCTGGGATAAGCGGTGGCGGGTCCCGGGGTGTGTGTTGGTGTGTGGCAGCTGAGCGTCTTGGGCTGAAAAGGCTTCGTTTTGGTGCTCAAACTAGTTAAATCTACCCAGCAGATGTGGATGTGCCACTGTAGCCGTATTGTATCCTGGGACTGCGGGAGCTAATGTTTTATGCTGAAGATGAGGCTCTTAAGTCCTCAGAATGGTAAATGGAAAAGTGTCTGTGCTTTCTGGGGAGCTGCAGCTGCGGGTGAATGGCTCTGGCTTCCCTAGGGCAGATATTTATGAATCTGCTAGAGAAATGAAAGCCTTTGGTTAAAGAGGTTTCCTGTAAATTGTCATCTGTATCGCTGGGACTTCATCAGATTGCCTTGCATTTGATAATAGCCTTAGTTGATGTGTTGCAGAGAATATTTGGGTTTAAACAGTATCTGAAAACTGTGTATCAAATTTTCCTTTAAGGAACATAGTCTCACCTTCCTTTGTTATTAAATAGGAGGGAAAACAATGTTCTGTGCTGCTGTAATCATGTTGCAGAAAATGGAAACATTGTGGGGGGGTCAGTCTTTGTTTTTATGATTTAGATGAAGGAGATAGATGAATTCTTCCTAATAGTCTCATTCCACAGTGGTTCTCTGGTGAAGGAGAAGCAAGTCCCATCTCTTATGGGGTTCTAGTAATATCCTCCATTCTAGTGATATTCTCCTTTTGCTAATCATGTTGCTAATTTTTATTGGTCTGTTTTAGTAAATAATCAGCACTGGAGCTTTCTGAAATAATCTGCGCATTTTCTCTGCCGGGGTGAAGTTGTGACACAGATGCGTGAATGTTTGCATCATTCCTATGTTGGCACAAACAAGCAAAGGGGGGAAAAAAGACAAAGATTCTTTGTGTTGATATCAGAGAGAAAAAAAAGATAGCTTTGTTGATATCGTTATGTTCTGCTGTACCACTAGTAACATTGTCTTTAAATTGGGGAGAATCGTAGGTCCAAACAATAAATGGAATTTTGTGAACTGTTTTGTTGTCATTTGGTCTTAAAATCTTACCCCAGGTCCTGTTGAGACAGCTTAAGAAAGAGCCATTATCTTCTGTGCTTGATAAATCTAAATGAAAAGGAAAAAGACTTTCTTAAAGGAATCTTCTAATGGATAATAGCATGTCCCCTTAGGGTACAACCTTCAGTTATTTCTAGTTATCTTTTTCAGATGGTGACCTTACACAAAATCTGAATGACTGGAATTGTAAAGCTAATATAGAGGATGAATTTATGTCTTTTGGAGGGTACCAACCCAGAGCCTTTGGAGAAACAGAGTGAGAACCTGTCTGTGGTCGGGGGGAGGCTTCCTGCCGCTTCCAGGCTATGGAGTTGAGCAAGTGCAGTTTAAATCTGGCCACTCGACTGAGCCAACAGATGCTTTTATTTTTAACCGATTTCCTAACTTGGAAGCAGAGCCGAGTGACCTGAAAGCTCCATTTTTGGATGCTCAGATGTTTCTCCCTCGTGAGAGCTGCTGAAGATCGGTGCACGCTGGGCAGCAAAACTGCAGCCCAATGTCCTGCAAGCCCATGAATGTGGCTGCTTTTTGCTGTCCTCCTCGAGATGAGAGCAAGGTGTAAATCTGCTGAACCCTGTGCTGCTGGTTTTTGACAATATATATTAATTCCCTTGGAAATCATCTGTTTGCTAGCAGCGACATGTGGCCTCTATGAATAAAACTTGCATTTTTTGTTACCCTTTGTATCAGTAATGGATGGAATTGTTACTTGAAATTGCTACAACTCCATTGGAGATTGTGATGCTGTGTGACTTTAGTAGGACCCTTTAGAAACTTTAATGATTTTTTACGGATTACTTTAGAAAAACCAAGCTTTTCTGACCGATTTGTAAGCTAGGTATCTTGTATCGGAGAGGTGAGGAACTGTTTCCTCAAATTATGAGACTCTGGCTGTTGCTTTTACCCTGGCTTTGCCCTGGTCATTTTATGGGTGTCTTAAAAATAGGCTTGGTTTTGATTTAAAGTGCTTTTTTCTTTCCTTTTTTCTTTTTCTTTTTTTCCTGATAGTCTCTGTGCATTAATCCAGTTAACATAGTCATTTTGAGCATACAAATATATTCTGAAATTTGTTGTGTGTTAGTTGTTTACCTAATTGTCAGTGAATAATCTCATCGTAGTCTGACGTGGACTGGGATACAGTAGGAGTTCGTCTCCCAGCAGCTTGTGCTGGGACAACATGGTACCGTAGCTGGAATAGTTTATAGCTTTGACTTTGATTTGACTGAGAAATGGCCTGACTTTTTGTGTACAATTTCTGTTAATTGAGTAGCATTAATTGTTTGAAAATGACCACTCACTACACACAGTCTCAGAAATTTATTTAACATTTTTCTGTTAAGAGAGGTTATCTGGGGGAGTTTACAACTTAAGTAACAGCTACCTTAAACGTGTCTGTACTTAATATTACTAGGTTGGAATTACAGCTTTATGGTACACTAAAAGTATGGTTTATCCTGTTTCCTAACAGTACTCCTTAATTATTCTACAGGTTCATGAACCACCCAGCTCCAGCAAACAGCCGCTACAAACCCACTTGCTATGAACATGCTGCTAACTGCTACACACACGCAGTAAGTAATTTTTTTTTGTCTGCTTTTTCAGCTAGATGTTTGGCAAATTCTTGTGGGTTTGGATGACTAAATGCTTACCTTTGCCCAAGTGCAGTCATATTTTGACCTCTCTAGTTTTGTTCAGCAAGCTTCAGCTATTAAAAAACCAGTAAATGTAACACTAATTAGATGTTTAGTGATAGCTAGTCCATGTTTGGATTCTCCAGAACCTCTAAATGCTTCATAAGGTTCCTCTTTACCAAAGTTAGTTGCCTGTTTTTCGCTGGATGGTTTTCCCTTGTGCCAGTCAAAGGAGAACTACAAGAAAATGAACGTGAGCATGTAATAGTTTTGCAAGATTGTGCTTGCATATATTGTGGGAATTCTCTAATGGAAGTATGAGTTTGTTTTTCCCACATTAAAGGGGCAAAGTTTTATGTAAGATTATGGGTATCAGCTAGCAGAGCTATACGGGCTTAATTCTCATGTTTAATAATATCAGTGCTCGCAAAGGATCAATTTAAATTTTTCAGAGACGGATGCTAACAATGCTGATCACAAATGTTAAACAGCCCCATTTTAAAAAACCTAGTCTGCCCTCCTTCCTATAATATAAGGACCCATATATTTGAACATGTGATATATACACTAAATAATGAAAACAGGCCAGTGGTGTGGGGGTTGGTGTGTTAATTGGGAGGCTTAATTTGCAGTCTTGCACTTAGACAAAGGGCTCTAAAAATGGGGGGGGGGGGGTTCTTTTAGACTGACATTTGCCCTTTTATACAGGCAATGGGTGCTTCTCACTGATCTCGTGTTTAACTCCAAACATATGGAGTATGTTTGACTTTGGCCTCATTCTTTGATTTCTCTGGTGTCTCCAGAGCAAATTGCAAATATGATTTCTCCAGGAACTGCATGGGATGGGGCTCTTTAGAAGTAGATCTCATTCTAGAACTAAAGATTCTTCTTGTGTATCTTATAAATTATCAATGCATAGCTCTGGTGCTGGCAAAACTGAATTGCCTGGGTTTGTGCGTAAGAAAATAACTGAGGCTTCTGTGTATTTTTAAGCCAGGGGGTCTCATCTACAGCGTTAGATAAAAATACACTTGCTTGAAATGAAGCAACCTGCTGTTAGTTAGCACAAATACATAGTTTATCTTTTAATCCTTGTGCAAATCCTGTTTGCTCTGGCCAAAGAGTTAGATTTCAAAATGTCTGGCAACAGTTTCTATCCTCCTTAACTCTTCTAGGCCTCATCTAGCTGGAGGAGAGAGGAGGGAGGAAGAAAAGAGAAGAGAGGGAGGGGATTAAAAAAAAAAAAAAAAGGCTTGTGGATTGAGTCCTTGCTGCTAGATTATAGTATGAGTTTTCAATTAGACATTGATGCGACTTCAACAAAACAGTGTTTAGCAATCTGCTCTCTAGCTGTTTTTCAAAGCCCTATTCACAGCTCAAAAAGCAGGCAATTTGTTCTTTTATGAGCATGGCTCTACTCCTTGGGTAGGTGTCTGTCTCTTCTAGCTTTTGAATTTGAAATACACAGCCATCGGTGTTGGCAGCTGCCTCAAAAATACTAGTTAAGAAATTAGGATACGCGATCTTGTCTAGCTTTCTGTCACATCACTTAAAAGCTAATTGCATGTAGCGTACTAAAATAGCCTTTCTAGGTAGAAATGTGAAGTTGTTTAAAATGTCTTGATTTTTAGCTTTAAAAGAAGCAGTGAATCATCTTTAGACACTAGGAGACAGGAAGGGCAGCTAAGCAGATGAATGTAGAGACAGAAAAGACACCTCTATTTAGAGGAACAGGAAGGAAACTGCGTATGAGAAGCAGGAGTCATAACCATTTGAGCTGTAAGGTAAGCTAAAGCAAAGTGTGTGTGGGGGTGGCTATTTCATCCAAAGCTCCCTAGTACCCGTAGGGCTTGTCAAACAAAAGACATGCTCTGTTATGTTAATTAAAACTTGCAGTTTGTTTTTCACAGCTCTAAATGTTTCTTTTTTTCTGCCTTAAAAGGAAGGAATATTCTTAAAATAAATTATGATCTGTATTGATTCATGTAGTACATGCGAGGAGGGGGGAAAAAGGCATTAAATGCTCCCGGAGTGAGACCTGGACATTTACCAGGAGGCCCTTTCCATTGAAGGGTGGAAGGAAGGGTCCTCAGAATGTCACAGGTATTTCACTTGCAGTAACAATTCTCCACTTTGTCTGACCAATACTCGCAGCTTCTCCATTCTTCTGCACCGCAGATGTCCTGCTCCATGATACCTGTCTCCATATCCAAGAAAAGAAAATTTGCAGACACAGACACTGAACTTGGCTTCAGGGCTGCTCTCCTGGAGCAGATCCCCTGAGCCGAGCACTCCTCCATCGTTCCCTCTAGCACCACGTGGGATTCTGGTGCTTTGTTGATTTTTCCACTGCCTTCCTGCTCCGAAGAGGAAGTGCAGGGTTATCTTTCTGCTGTTAGCGTTTCCTCCTCAATAAATTGCACATGAAAGGGAAGGGCAATGCTGGGTTTTGCTACAGTGGCTTGCACATCAAAGGTCACGTTGGTGACTAAATTTCCTGCATAACCCTGTGGCAAACCAAATAACTTAATTTGCTCTTGTCATTATACACAAAAGCAAAATATTTTATGGATAATTAAGCCACGAGGTGAGAAAAGGGTACTGAGTAAAGCACCTGTATATCCGGCAACACCAAATAATTGGAACAAAGATGTCAGAAATGTACTCCTACGTAGCCATAAGATAATAACCAGAGAGTGCAATTTCACTGAATTATGGTTGATCAGGTTAATTAGGGCTTACTGTTACAGCATTTTTTGTGCATTAAGGCTATTTTTACAGCAGCTGTTTGCAATAGTGGTGGTCCGTTTCCCAAACTGAATCACATGGAGGTGGTGCCTAAATCACCTCTTAAAAATACAATAGGAACATAAATATATATTAATCCTTTGCCTTCCTACGTTTTGCAAAGGGAAGCTATAACTTAAGGCTCTCTTTTTTTTTTGGCTTTTCTACAGAAAAATCAGTGAAATTGTTGCCTTATTCTCATGTTCTGTAAATCTCTCTGCCAACTCCATTTCTTAGTTAGCAAGTATTAATGAAAGTGCTAGAATTAGTAAATTGGCGCATCGTAGTTCTGGTTTTGTTCACAGCATATTAATATTGACAGTATTCATTTGGAACACTCTCATTTCATAATGAAATAAGCAAAGCTTTTTGTGACTTTAAGCTAATTTTATTGCCGGGAATTTTGGCAGCTTAGGAATACTCTTTCATTCCTATAAAATGGCACAGTGCTATCACTCATTTGAGTCATTCTAATTATTTGATTGCTTTATTGGTAATTACTTTTTCTTCTAAATGATCCATTGATTGCTTCTCCATTCTGAAGATGAAAATTCTGGTCTTGCGCTCAAGATGTTTTATCAAATGAAGATGGGAAATCTATCTTGTTCACTAAAATGTTATCTGACTTGCAGAAGATCTATAGTAGCTAAAATGGAGTGCATTCTGTATCATATGTTATCTGGTATGGCATTAATATCTGAAGAACTTTCACCAAACTGGCTGGACAGACCATTTTTCTCTGTTTCTCTTTTTGTTTTTAATTCAGCTTTTTTGGTCAGAAGAGGAGTAATAAAACATCTCTTGTTTAGTCTAACTGTTCCCACGATGCATATCAGGACATGGAAGCCAAGTATGCTTGTTTCCAGATAGAATACTTAGGGGGAAAAAAAACGGTAAATCTCTCCCTTTTTAGTAGAGTGGTGCTCTAGAGAAGCAAATTTTCTTTAGACTCAGAAGAAGGCAGAGAAGAGATGAATTTCACCCTTCTCTCTGAAGGTGGGAAGGAAGAGGTGATAGAACAATTGTTCATTTTTAATGCTATGACTTTATGTGGAAGATGTGCTGGGGGAAAAAAGTGCCTGTCTGCAGGCTACAGGTCTAGCTGCAAAGCTTCAAGTCTTTGCTTCTGGTCCAGTTACTGCAGCTTTAGGGATTTCATGTTTCTTGTTTGTATCGTTCTGCATCTTATGTACCCAACTTTGCAAAAAAGGAAGGAGATGCAACAGCAGTGTGAAGCTACAGTTGATGCACTTAACCATACAGAAGAAAAAGTGGTTTTTTAACTGTTTCTTTGGATTAACCAGCAGCTTTTCAGACTCATTCAGTATACTCTACACCTTTTAAGCTGTAACTGAGCAGAACATCAATATCTTCTCATTTCCAAGTAAATAAAGGAGAGGGATAGTGCAGCTGAGGCTGGAACTTTGCACTCCTGGCTATCAGACCTGTAATGCAAAGCAGAACTGCTAAACTCATTTACATGTTCCCGGGTCTACCTTTATAGTTAATAAACATGCGAGACTCAAGCATAGTTTAAACTATGGATTCTATTTACAGTTCAAGTAAACTAATTAACATCTTCAAACATACAAATTTCCTTTCAATTGCTTCTGTATTAGAGTTCTATAACTTAGAAAACTGGCAAAAGATCTGTTTTCCTAGTGGATGAGTAGAAATGTTGGAGCCAGCAGTTTCCTTTCTCTAGATGCATGTTGGATGTTCTTGTTTTGCTTTCCTAGTTTGTTGTTTTGAAGGGACAAAGGTAGATGACTGTATCCTGGAAAGCAGTGGTGGTGTTGCATGCATTTCCAAGTAATTATGCAAAGCCTGCAGCCCACTTCCCACGAGCATGCTAAGGAAAGCGTGAACCAGAACTGCTTTGAGAGGCAGGTGGTGAGGAAAACAGACTGGGATACATTACATGAAGGTTATGGTTTTTAAGGCATTAAGGATCTGTTCAGATTAAAACCCAAGATCTGCAAACCTTTGCTATTTTTTTCTTTTCTCACCTGCATGCTCTAAATGTTTTTTTTTTCCATTGGAGCTTTAAATTTCTTTGTTTAGTTCCTTGCTCAGTCTTTATGCAAAAGAGATGGCCTAGATACCAGCCTAAAGTAAGCTCAAGCCGTTTTTAAAATGTGAAGCACACTGAAAATAAATTAGTAAGACTTAGCAACTGCTTGTGTTTGTGCAAAGTATAATGCCTAGGGAAGCAAGTGACCTACCCTAAACTCAGTAGGAGTAGAAACTACCCACAAACAGGTGTCTAAGATACACAGATATTAAAGACTTGGGCAGTATCAACAAACAGCAACACAAAAATTTTGATCCAATTAATAGCATGCCATCTGGATATTATTATATGGTTTTATATTGCATACTACCCTGCTGTCGCTCGCCTGTGGGTGGTATCCTGGTGGCTGGGAGAGAAGACCTTAACAAAAGCCTTTTGTTCCCTTAGTTCCTCATTGTTCCTGCCATTGTGGGCAGTGCTCTTCTCCACCGCCTTTCTGATGACCGATGGGAGAAGATAACGGCATGGATGTATGGCATGGGCCTCTGCGCGCTCTTCATCGTGTCCACAGTGTTCCATATAGTTTCCTGGAAAAAGAGCCACTTAAGGTATCACAATAGCTTTTGTTATATAATTTATTTTCTTTTTTTTTATTTTTTTTTTCATGTTCCATGATTTATTTATTAAGGTTTCTTAAGTAGCCAAGAACTAATGGTTTTTAAAGGAGGTTGGAGTGGTAGCTTGTACTGAATTGTTAAGAAAACATTACAGGAAATATTAAGCCATTTACAAGAAATAGTAAGCTAAACATGAATATAGATGGTGATGTATTTGGTGCACCCCCCAAAAAAGTTGAAGGCAGCTAGACAACCTCAAAGTGCCTTTGAGGGGCTGCAGAAATGGCACCATTTTTCCTAAAATAATTCCAAAGTATGCAAGAAAACAGCTCATGTTAAGAATTCAATCTTAGTGATTTGTTCTCTCTCTTTCTAGGACCATGGAACATTGTTTTCATATGTGTGACAGAATGATGATCTATGTCTTCATTGCTGCATCATATGCACCATGGTAAGAAATTGTCTAATAAAGAGATAAAATTGATCAATTTGGATTATAGGACTTAATTAGTACAGTAGAATTCGCTTTATGTGTTGATAGCACCTGGGTAGAATTTCTTCTTTATACTTTCTCATAAATTGCAAAATAAATTGCAGTCTTGGGCTCAAGTCATTTATTTTCTTCCCAAAGTAAAGCAGGAAGCTACTCCTTAGGTTATAGCAGTAATGCTTTTCTCAGAAATGTCAATGCTTTTCAGTCTGAAATACTTGTTTCCAGATATTGGTTTCCTGTCTATATTTGTTGTATCAGTCAACAATTAAGCCTGAATTGATGTTTTGAGTCTTATTCTTGCTGTGAATTATGGAGGTCACCCTTCAAATTAAGATAGTGGTGTGTTTTATGGCTGTTGAGTATGAAAACTGTGCATGTCATCTTATATTTGGAAACTATCAAATATGAAAATACCATTTTGCAGATATTAAGTATCACGGGACTTTAATTTCGGATGTCTGCTCACGCTCAAGTTAAACTTTCAAGCCCCGCTGCTTCTGTGTCAATATGTTCTGTCTATTCATCACTTGTGTCTGTTAAAATCTTTGTACTTCCAGGTTAAATCTACGTGAGCTTGGACCTCTGGCATCTCATATGCGTTGGTTTATCTGGCTAATGGCCGCTGGAGGAACTATTTATGTATTTCTCTACCATGAAAAGTAAGAACTGTTGTTTGAAGTTAAGTTGAAACTGAAATTGAAAGCTTAGGAGATAACGGATATAAATTGAAACACAGGAAGCTTAATCATCATATAGGGAAAAACTTCTTTGCTGGTTTTATTTTGATAATAAAACATTGGTTAGTTCTCTGTGTAGAAAGCTTTTTGAATGCTTGGGATACTAACATAAAATAAAATTGTTTTTCTTTACTGTTAAAGAGAATGTTCATCCGCCTTAAATCATTTACATTTTTGTTCCTTTTTAGGTACAAGATTGTTGAACTCTTTTTCTACTTAGCAATGGGATTTTCTCCTGCTCTGGTGGTGACATCCATGGTAAGGAATGTAGCTAACCTTATAAATATATGAGCTTTCCTTTTATTACTGGCTTTGAGTTCCAGTGCAGCAGTACCTCTTCTGAACAGATTTTAACTTCAGTCCAACATAACTATGTTTTCTTTCTGTAAAAGAACCAGATGTTATGTTTTTAAGTTTGTAGTTCAAATTCAGTGAAGTGCTACTTTTATTAACACTCTATGGATAAGCTTAAAAAAATAAAAGAATGTAGTTTGAGGCTTCATGAATATCCCCATGTCCAAAAATGTTAGACAGAACAATTTGCTTTCATTTTATTAAAAATGAGAAAGATAGGAAATATGTTAATCTGTTGAACCAATGTTTATAGGTTTTACTCTTTATGAACTTATGCCTGCTTACTACTTGCAAATTATGAAAGAAGGTTTTGTTTTGGAAAGAGCAGTGCACATCTGCCAACATATGTTGTTCTTTTTTCTTGATATACTTAAGAGCCTGAAAATCTAATGTATTTGTTCTTTCTCCTGGACTGAGAACAAAGTAAAACGAGTCTTTCAAAATGACTTATGTGGAACAAGTCTAAAAGACTTTTTTAATCTATTACTACAGGCCTCCTAAATCAGTGAAGCAGGGCAGAAATGAAATGCTGAGTAGCTGAACTATATCAAGCTTATGTAGCTGATGAACTGTGTCTGAGGTATTTCATTTATCAGCAAATTGAGATATATATATATATAGAGAGAGAGAGAGAGAATTTCTTGGTGCATCTGGAAACAGGTTGAGAAAACCTTTCTGCCTTTCTTATGCACCTCAACTTTGTTTATCTACACTTAAAACAACTTTGAAGAAGTCTCTCTGCTGCAAATGTAAATCACATTCATAAGGTATGGCTTTCCAAATCTGTACTCTACAAAGGCCAAGATTTCCTAGAGTCTGCAGTTTGTTTATAGAGCTGTGTATCTGCGATATAAAGGTCATGCCAGTGACATAAGTATTTCAGTCATTTTTCACCTTAAATAGGTGTTATATCAAAATGCTACTTGTTAATTCATTCAACTAGTAAATTAGTTCATTTCATTCATTGAAATGAACTAATTCATTCATCACAACATTCAACTCATGCTTACATGCAATAGTGTGATTTTTATTTTTCTCTCAATTTGCCTTCTCTACTAGCCAGCAAGAGACAAAATGTCAAGCTTACCTTGTGTTATCCTACTGTAACTCCTGTAGTGCTCACTAAAATAAATATATATTTAGATTCCAATTTAGAATATGTACTAAGTAAAGCATTTTGCCACTTGTCAATCTGACTGGGTTAAACTACTATCCAAGATGTTTTGAGTTATGCCATCCAGATCTTCTTTTGGAGGAAAAATGCACTTTGTAAGTGAAATGCTCTCTTCCTTCCTTACATCACCCCCCTAACTTATCTTTATTAACTGACAGAGTAACACGGATGGACTTCAGGAGGTTGCCTGGGGAGGCTTGATCTATTGTCTGGGTGTGGTGTTCTTCAAGAGCGATGGCATCATCCCCTTTGCCCATGCCATCTGGCACATCTTTGTGGCCACAGCAGCTGCAGTTCATTACTATGCCATTTGGAAGTACCTTTACAGAAGTCCTGCAGACATGATTCGCCACTTGTGATATTCGGGGGGCGCAGGGCAAGTCAATCTGCACTTGGCCTCTGTAGCAGTATTATTTGACGTAAGGAATTGGGGGAAATTGGAGAGTTGCACAAGAAAAAAAAAATGCACTGACTTTGATAGTTCTCTGAACACAATTACTGTGAACTGGTGTCGTATGTGTCCTGGAATTGCCCTTCATATATGGCAAGTGCTGTAAATAACCAAGATACTGAACTGCAATACTAAGAGTCCATTCCACGTTAGGAGAACCGGCTACCTGATGTTTACAAATAAATTTTGTATCCTAGGTTAACTTTACAATTTTTAACTCTATGAATTTTTTCTAAATTAGCGATCCGAATGGTGAAGTCAGTGCAATAAGACAAACGTAACTCTGTTTATTTGAAATTGGTTTCTATCACTTTCCACTAGTCATTCACTCAAGGTGAATCGCAGCTGGATGGTCTACTTCTGCCACCCATTATCTTGGTATAATGCGACTTTTATAGAAACTTGTTGTGTTTTTTGTAAACTTGAAATACATTTATTGAACTGAAAACACACAACTGTCATCTATGCAGTTACTCATATTGCAAAATCTTGCAAGAAATGGTTACATTCCACATACTGTACTGACAAGCAGACGTACCTCTCCAAAGGCTGAATTACATTTATAGTTGTAATAACCACTTTGACAGACTAAAATGTAAATGTGATTCTGCCAGGTTTTAACATGAAAACATTGGTAATACTACTGCTAATCTATAGTACCACTTGCACAGCACCTTAATTTGGCTATATTGATGATGGAAATAAGTGTTTTAGAGAAATTGGAACACTTTTATCTTCAAGATTCCCAATTCTGCCGTGTGCTGCACAGTTGGGCAGCAGTTTGGATGAGAGCAGGCTCGTCAAGGCTTGCATTAAGTATTAATTAAGTATTAACGAAGGTGGCCAGTTAATACCCTGCTATCCAAATTAAGAGACTCAATAGCTTCCCAAAAATCAGTACATGTACCGGTGCTGTAATATTAAGGCTTTGGTTTTTCAAAGGGATTTCTATGGGCCGACAGAACCAGCTTCCACCAGCTTTCATTGGGATCATTTGAAGGATGTTTTGTTGGGAAAGCAGATCCCGAGCAATCGCTGACTGCTAATTTCAAGGTTATTGGTTCTTTGTAAGCCTTCCAGGGAGGAAAGTGTGGAGAACTCGACACAAATCACTTGTCATTCTGGGACTTCACACACAGTAAAACTGGTCTTTAATTGTATTGCTGTGTTTCTGTGCAGGAAAACAAAAAAAATAAATGTGGTAGTGAGTCATGATTGTGGAACATGTGCATTAAATGACCAGATGTGGAAGCCTCATTGTAATACTGTTTGTCCAATAACTGTATCCTGTCCCACTATATTATGAATGTCTTATATTAAGATTGACTTTTATCCTTTTTCTAATTTACTCACTTTTTCATGTCCGTGTTTAAAAACAAAACGTGTTGCCTTCTTCAGATTTTGTTCTGGATATTGCCTGTCTCCAAACAATAGGTATTAAACAGGGATGTTTTTCAAGGTACTGTTTAATACTTCATCTAGATTTGCCAGTGGATTGCATATTTTAGAATATATACATTTGTATATGAAATTTGCAGGAGAAATTTGTATATGAAATTTGCAATTTCATGTACATTTGTATATGAAATTAAAATCAAGGCACTGAAAAGGAATCGCTGTGGGTGTTAGCAGGCGATTGGGAAAACAGCACCACTACAGCAGGACCAGCTCCCTGCCCCAAGAGAGTACAAGCAAAATGACTGGGCAGGTAACTCCTACGGGCGCAAACATCTGAATGCCTCTTTTTTAACATCGTGTCTATTTTAATAACTTCACTTTCTGTGACTTCATATACTTTGTTTAAATGCAGTACTGTTGAAACCACTAAAATACACGTAGGTTTTCTGTAGGCAGAAATGCAACTATTGCTTGAATATGTTTGTTTTAATTTTAAGTTAATTTTTCACGGCATTGCTTTTTTTTGGAGTGTTTGAAATGGGTTTTTAAAAATATTTGAATTCGCCAAAAAATATTTTGAATTACTGTATTCTAGTCAATATGTTATTAAATGTACTAGACTAAACAATAAACATTTTGTGCGATTTGGAAGCCTGTGTGCTCTTGCCATCTTTCCTCAATATTTAATACTAAGAGTTTGTTTACTGCAAATATGCAGGAATGCCTGGCAATGTTGCTGCTCCTGATGATACTTCTGCCCATTCAAGTGACTCCTTTAATGTTTTCATATTATTTTTAGTTTATGATCCAAAATTTGTAGCAAGACGTTTAGATATATAGAAGTCTCGGGCACTATAGTGACCTCCCTTGTTAGCGATTTAGAACAACAAAAGGTCAAGTTCTTTACTCCTTGGATTTACACAGCAGAAAATAATCTGGCTTCAGAATGATTCAGTGCATGTGAAGGTCCAGTGGAAAGAGGAAGAGGAATCTAAAGATTTTGTGTTTGTGAAGCTGCAGAGAAGAGGAATCCAGATCAAAAGCTCATGTGAGGAGTCTTGGGTTGGGCTGTTAATGCAGGTGTTTTGATTTTAAAAATCAAAAAACTGACATTTTGCTTGCATAAGACTGGTCATGATTTTACAAAATAGTGATGCTAGGGAATTATTTCTGAAGGGTTTTGGTTTATATTTTGGGGTCTATGTGAACGTGGCACTGCTTTGTTTTTGGTGTGTACCAAACTTACTTTGGTGTGTACCATTTTTTATTTCCTTTCCCTACACACCCCATAAAACTAAAATCTAATCTGCTGGCTGTATAAGAGTATATAGATCCTTTTTAATAGGACTGCGTATCGGAGTATATTTTTAGCTGAACTAAAAATGCATTTCTCTGGAGCTTGTTTTCAGTGCAGAGACAACTGCTTTGGGAGTTGCCCTTTCCCCACTGCAGCTCCTGGCAGTGCCCTAGGCTGCTGCCTGAGGAGGGTGAAAACTGCAGTAACAGAGATGACTTCTCCATGGCCCTAAAGCCAGTGTCTTCTACATGAATTTGCTTCTCTAATTTCTATACTCCTAGGTTTTAAAGGGGCACCAGGTTCTGATGGCTCTAAATGAAAGAGCTAATGCATGCAGCTTTGCAGAGGGGCCCTTCCAGGATACAGATAGGATGAAACAGGTGCTCTGAGTACTTTCTATGCCTGTTAGGTCATATCTTTTAACACACTATTGAGTGCACTTCTACAATAATCAAGTTTAACTCAGGAACTTGCTGAAGAAGCTGGACTGAGGCTTCTGCAAGGACTTTAAGTGCATGGTGGATGTGCTGCTTTTGGTAGCCTGGAATTGCTGCCTGGCTCCTCTTACGCAGACAGTGCTGGTGCTGCTTTCCTTAAGGCTCACCTGCCAGAAAAAAAGATGAGCTAGGGGTTTGTATCTGTGTGTCAACTGGAAATGGTTGTTCCGAGACCTTAAAAAGTTAAGCAAATGCCAGAGTTGTTCAGTATCGGTGGCAGACAGAAGCATTCTCTGTTCTTACACAGTTTTATTATAATTACATGTTTCTCTCTCACTATCTTTCCCCGCTAGGCCTGTTCCCTGCGGGCACTGGCCCGGCCGTGTCCCCCCGGAGTGATGCGCTGCTTCCTGCCAGGGTCGCCGTGGTGGCAGATCTGAAACCACATCCGTGGCTGCTTTCTACACTGTTTTCACGAGCAGTAACTGAGCCTTCGAGGCAGTTCTTTGACTGCTGTGGGCCTGCAGGTGTGATCACAATCCTAGAGATTAGCTACAATTTGCATGTGGGGAAAAAGGATGTCTCAAATAGAAGATTTTTATGTTTTTCCTAGAGCTTTTCCCCCTTCAAACCTCTCAAGCAGGTGATCCTGGCCTGGAGGCCCCTGCCTCTTGCTTGGAGAACCCTTGGCCTCGCCTCCATGCCCCTTTATTTAGGGCTGCTGTATTTAGGAGCACGGTTTCTCTGGATGCTGTCACGTTCACGTCATGATCATCAAGACATTTCACTCAATCTCTTCCCTGTGCTCAGACAATAAAAGCCTAGAGCCTGTTAGTCCCGTATCACTTACTTCTTCACCAGTGATGCCATAAGCTTAAAGCTAAAAACGGGCACCAAAGGAAGGTCCAGGTGAAGTAGAGCAGCGCCCGTCCCCTCCCGGGGCGCCGGCTGGGCAGGGGCTCGCTCCGGTGGCACGAGCGGCGCCGCAGCCCCGGGACAAGGGCCTGGAGCCCCCGCCGCCGGCCAGCCTCGGGCCCGTCCCGGGGCAGCGGCGGGACCGGGAGGGCACCGCGGGATCTGCGCCATAGGATGAGATCCGGAATGTGGAACCAGAGCAGCCGGTGCGCGAACTTCATAATAAAGCGGCAGCCGGGGCTGGGTGGGCAGGTGGGTAGTTCAGAAGGGGAGCGGGAGGGTAGGTCGGTAGCTAGTTAGGCAGGTGGGTAGTCAAGGGGGTTATTACCTGGCTGGGTGGGTAGTTAGCTAGCTGGGCAGTGTGTGTTTGTGGGACCTGGCTGGGGTTGGGACCTGCAAGGATCTGGTGCCCCCAGCACCCGAGATCCCCCCGGAGCCCCCGCACCCCTGCGCCGGGCGCTGCGGGCTCCGTGCCCCGCATCCCTGCACCGAACTCCCCCATGTGCCCCCATCCCTGCGCCCCACACCTGCGCCCCGCATCCCTGCGCCGAGCACCCCCATGTGCCCCCATCCCCCCGCACCCCCCATGTCCCCGCACCGCCCCCCGCAGCGTCCCCTTGGCCGGGCAGTCCCAGCCGGCCACCGTGGAGGTCTCACCATAGAGAGCGCGGCCACGAGCGCCCCCTCCCGCCTCTCCATGGTACACTCGACTTCCGTCACGCGGTGCCATTGGCTGCGGGTCACGCGGCCTATGGGCGGGGTGACGCTAAGGATAGCAGCGATTGGTCGGCCGGAGAAAGGGCGTGGAGCGAGTGCGGCGACGGCGGCCGGGATGGGACCAAAGGGCGTGCCGGGCGGTGAGGGGCGGCGGCGGGAGCGCGGCCGGGGCCGC